CAGGTCTGGGTTCTGCCAGGGCCACTCATCTTCTGACCTCATTACATTGGTTCAAACATGGACAAAAGAGCTGAATTCCAGAGGTGAGGTGAGAATGACAGCCTTTGACATCAAGGCTGCGTTTGACTTGAGTGTGGCATCATGGAGCCCTAGCAAAACTGGAATCAGTGGGTATCGGAGTGGCAAACTCCGAGTCGTACCTGATATATAGGAAGATGGTCGTGGTTGTTGGAGGTCAGTCATGTCAGCTCTAGGACATCTCTGCAGGAGTTCCTCAGGGTAGTATCCTAGGCCCAACCATCTTCAGCTGCTTCATCGATGATCTTCCCTCCACCATAAGGTCATAAGTAGGGATGTTCGCCAATGGCTGCACAATGTTCAGCACGATTTGCAACTCCTCAGACATTGAAGCAGTCTGTGTCCAAATGCAACAAGATCTGGATAATATCCAGGCTTGGGCTAACATTCACTAACACACTAATGCCAGGCTCTGACAACTACCAACAAGAGACAATCTAACCACCACCCCTTGACATTCAACAGTGTTACCATCACTGAATGTCCCACTATTCAACATCCTGGAATTATCATTGACCAGAAACTCAACTGGACTCACCACATAAACACAATGACCTGCTCTTGTAGCCAGAGGCTAGGAATACTGCAGCAAGTAACTCACCTCCTGACTCCCCAAAGCCTATTCACCATCTACAAGGCACAAGTCAGGAGTGTGATGGAATACTTCCCACTCTCCTAGATGAGCACAGTCCCAACAACACTCGAAGCTTGACACCATCCAGGACAAAGCAGTCCGCTTGATTGGCACTGCATCCACAAGCATCCACTCCCTCCACCATTGACACTCAGTAGCAGCAGTATGTACTGCACAAATTCACCAAATACAGCACCTTCCAAACCCACGACCACTTCCATCTAGAAGGACAAGGGCAGCAGATATATGGGAACACCACTAACTTCAAGTGCCCCTCCAGCCACTCACCATCCTGATTTGGAAATATATCTCTGTTCCTTCACTGTTGCTGGGTCAAAATTCTGGAATCCTTCCCAAATGGCATTGGGAGTCAATCCAAAGCAGGTGGATTGCAGCAGCTCAAGAAAGTAGCTCACCACCACCTTCTCAAGGGCAAGTAGGGATGGGCAATAAATAAAAACCGAAAGAGCTGCGGATGCTCTAAATTAGGAACAAAAACAAATATGCTGGAAAAGCTCAGCAGGTCTGGCAGCATTTGTGAAGGAAAAAACAGAACAGACCCTTCTGAGGAAGGGTCACCGGACCCAAAATGAAATTCTCTTTTTTCCTTCACAGATGCTGCCAGACTTGCTGAGATTTTCCAGTAACTTGGTTTGTGTTCCTGATGGGCAATAAATGCTGACCAGCCAACAACGCCCACATCCCACAAAATGAATAAAAAGAAACACACTGCATCAAGATAATAACCTTGCACGCAACTTCCATCTTCATTTTGGTATTGCCAAAGAGACTGGCTGGGGGTCCACAGCTCTTTGAAGTCCCCGAGTTTTCACAACGATGCAAGAATTTGGTTACTTCAATCTGCAGCTCAATTGTATTCATGTACCTATATTAAAAAAAAGCAAAAAGGTTCTACAAATTAGAAGTTCAAATTACATGTAACAGCTAGTTCTGGAGTTATGGCTGGTTTACTGGCTTATTTTAGTCTGGGCATCACATTAAAATACAATTAAACTCCCAGAATTCCTTTTGCTTTACAGCAGCTCAATCAGAACTGGTATACATGGAGTATCATGAAGACATGAAAAAAAGGTGCATTTGTTCTACTTTTCACCACCTCAACTCCATTTTAAACAAATAGCAAAGATGGCAGTTTGTGAACTCCTTCCCTGTAAACATAACTTTTAGTACAATGGTGAGAAACAGATGACCAAATTAAAACCTTTGTGCTGCCAGTTTACCTGATCGGAGCCTTTTGCAAATTTGTTCTCAGAAGGTAGGTGATGCTATCAATGCTGCATTTATTGCCCAATCCTAGTTACTCTAAGACGATAATGGCAGATTCTACTACCTTGAACTTTGGCCACATTTGTGGTGACGGTAATTCCATAAAAGATGGATAGGGAATTTCTTCTTAATAATCGGGATCATTGTCCCTTCTGCTTTGTGCCTTCATCCTAAAATGATAACTTTACAAATACTGTACAAGAAATTTTTCTAACAGTGAGATATTAGGAGGCTGGTTCCTTTTTATTATTCTACAGACAAGAAATGGTGCACACATCATAATTTCCTCTTCCAGAATTTCATTACCAGAGTAAACGTTGGTATAATTATACAGAAAAAGTTGATCCAATTCACATGCTACTATATTTTTCTTCTCTTAGAAGAACAGAAAAACACTTCAATAAATTAGTCAGTAAAAATAATGACTGCAACTGCTTCTTGAGTTATTAAAGTCAGTTAGACATCTTGCAGGAATTTTCAGGATTTTGAGAACTGATAATTATTGAAAAATAAAAAAAACTTCCTGAAATTGATTCCTCTGCCATAATAAGCCGCTAATTCTTGTTCTGTTCATTAATGAGAAATCATTGCCAACCTTGCATAAACTTGCATTTACTCTCCCAAACATGACAAAATGATACCTATACTTTAGTATGTACAGGGTGGGATTTACATGTGCATTTGTGTTTGGGGAGTGGGTGGGTGGGTGGGAGGGTGAGAGTGAGGGGGGTGGGGGAAAGAGGCAGGAATGGGTAGGTGTGTTTGTACATGAGACAGCAAGAGAGAAAGTAAGTGTGCAGGAGGAGTTTCAATGTGCTTTTTCAAATTTACTATTATCATATTATTAGTCCTCCAGAATTTTTCCATTTGGAGAAGACAGTGATGTTGTGGTCATGTCACTGGACTAGTAGCCAGACTATCTGGTGGTAAAGTTCTGGGGATGCAGGCTCAAATCCCAGCACAACAGCCAGTGGAATTTAAATTGAATTTGTTAGTGAATTTAAATTAATAGATAGCTAGCTTCAGTAATGGTGACCAAGAAACTATTACTGACTGTTGTTTAAAAAAAAACTTAGTTCATTAATGTCCTTTACAGAAGAACCTTACCTAGTCTGGTCTGTACATGTTTCCAGATCTACAGCCACGTGGTCGACTCTGAACTGTCCTCTTAAAATGGGTCAGCAAGCCACTCAGTTTAACCAGACTGTTATGAAAGGTTGTACTGCAGCGTTCCAAAAGGTGACTCACCTCCTCTTCTCAAGGGCAATTAAGGGTGGGCAACGAATACTGCCTCGACAGTGACATAAACATTGCAAGAAGGAATTTTTTTTTAAAAAAACATACCTTGAGACATCAGCTGCAGACATTTGCTTGCGAAAAGAACTGGTAATTTTCCTTCTCGACGAACTACGTTGGGACACTTCTTGCAAATATGTTTTCAGGTGACCCTTGGCTTCTGTCAGCCAACCTTGATTGGCTCCAAGTTCCTTATAGGATTCTGCTTTGTGACTGAAAAATCTGATGCATGTCATAGCTGCTCGCATGTGGTCCTGAAATGAACACATCACATGTGACATTGCTCCATACACAGTTAAAACCCATCTGAAAAGGGCCCATCACACAAGTCAAAAATTACAATTACCTTCATAAATTGCTGCAGATCATACAGAATGTTGAAGAAACCCCTCATTTGCAAATGTTTGCAGGATGCAATCAAATAGCAACTCCATTTCTCCAGGCTTGGATCCATATGTTCCAGCAAGTTTTCCAAAGCATGCAGTTTGCCACTTTCATAACTTGGTTTGAAAATCCCTTGCATGAACACCTCTTCAGGGCAACCCTGAAAAGTAAGACACACACATCAACTAATGTAAGAAATGGAAACAGCAACTGCTGGAGAAACTCAGCAGGTCTGGCAGCATCAGTGGAGAGAAAAACAGAGTCAACTTGAACTATGTTCCAAAGAAGTCCTACTGAGCTTGAAACATTAATTCTGTTTCTTCCTCCAAAAATACTGCCACACCTGCTTAGTTTATCCAGCACTTTATATTTTTATTTTGGTTCTCCAGCATCTGCAGTATTGTGTTTATCCGAAATGTAAATCTGTGCTTGATCAGAGCTAAGTTAAAAACAATGAATTTTGGGTGAAAAACACAGCAAGTTGGTAAGTATCTGAAAAAGACAGTTCAAATCAGATGAACAGGTACAACTGAAATGCCCCAACTCAGTCACCTCTTTCAGATTGTTTATTGACCAGCTGTTCTGTTGCAGAATATTCTTTTTAATTCAGATTTCCTACATGACTACTTTACTTTTTTACTTATGAAGTAGGAAAAAAAAAAACAGGTTTTCAGTGATATTAGAGCACAGGGGCAGATCATTTGGTCCACATAGTCAATACCATGCTCCCCACAAGCCTCCTCCCATCCTCCTTCAGATAGTCCTATCCACATATTGCAAGGAGACAGTGGCGTAGTGGTGATGTCAATAGGTCGGCCGCAGAAAGATAGGAAATAATGTTCAACTTTACAGTCCTTCAAGTTAAACTTGGCTTCAGATTTGCCTAAGGTCCCCTTAAGAGTTTTCTGTAAGGTGTAAAAATCTATCTAGCTTACTAGTGCCCTTTAGGGAAGAAAATCTGCCATATTTACCTTGTTTAGTCTACAAGTGGTTCCAGATCAACTCTTAATTGCTCTCTGAATGCTAGAGTGCCAATCAGTTCAAGGGGTGGGCAACAAATGCAGGCCTTGCTAGTGATACCCACATTCCCTCTAAAAATAAAAAATATCCCATTTTTCCTTTTGTCCCCATGTGAGTATTTAAGAAGCCTTAGAGACATTTATAATATTCAACTGAATGTAGCAAATTCTACATTCGAATGGGTAAAGAAATTTCTTCCAAACTCTCCATGGAATGAGCAACTACTTCTACTTATAACCATTAATTTAGGATTAGCCAAAAAAATACAGTAATGTTAAGATTCAGGAAAACAAATTTGGAAGTTGTTTGGCCAGATTGCACCAAAGAATTGATTTAAGAAAGAGAACATCTGTAGAATGTTAAATAACATTGCTTTCTCCTGCCTAAGGGTGTTCTCATATTCCTCAGCGAGGAAGCCAAGAGATGCCTGCATTCTATCTTCGGTCTTAATTGGGAAATCCAACAGCTGAATCCACATCATCAATATCCAGGGTATATCACCAATGCACATTACAAATCATCCTTTTACATCCAAGTAATTTTATACAACATGTACGCATTTTTGTTTAGGAAAGCACATCTAAATTTAGTAATATCAATGTCTTACCTTATCTAGTAGGTGCTGCAATGCTTCTCTCATGCAGTTGTGTCTCATATAAAAACTAATAATAGCCAAATTAGTACCATAAGTTTGCAAGTAGTACAAGCACTCTTGGTAGAAGACCTTTTGTTTGATCTTTCCATCCCCTGTGATTTCAAAACTTGCACCATCACCCTTTAGGACTGTCTCCAATTCTTTCAGTGAAGCAAGAATGTCGTCATCCTGCTGTTTAATCACAAATAGAAACAAACATAGTCATCACTGCAAGTTATTAGAGTACCACTTCTACACAATTTGCCCAAAGTTGGCCAATCTAGGGTGAATGATCAAGAAACTTTAAACTCAGGTTACATCCTACACAAACTTTTATGGTTGCATTAAAATGTCGCGTAGAAGGCTAGTCTGTTCCACAACTGCTCACAGACCCAGATTTATTTAATCAATGGGGCAAGTTTCAGATAATTGTCTGCTTGTGACCAGAGTACATCTGAAGATTAAGCACTTCTTAAAAAACAGATCTTTTCAGCGTGCCAGTTTTTAAAAATACCTGTTACTAAAAAACTGACTTAAGTAAGTGGCTCTGTTTTGTAAAGTCATTTTCAGTTATTTAAAGTAGCTACTCATATTAGGGCAGCACCCTTTTTGTGAAAACACTTTTTCAACTGAATTAATGAAACTGCATTAGATTCCCGAGCTTCAGTATATTAAGGCTATCTTTAAATTCTGGGTAGAGAATTCCACATGAAAAAGCAAACCAACTTCACCAACTCATGGAAGGTTTGACATTTATGCAAATCAAAGAACAGGAACAAGAGCCATAAATTCAATTCTCAAAACTGGCTCAAATCTGAACCACATTACTCCAAAACTCAAAGAAGACACTTATGTCCATTATCTCTACTTTGCCAGCAACACAGTTAACTGTAAATATCAATAATGGTCATGTCTAACTTGCACATTTCCACCTCTTCAAATAGTTTCCTTATTTACCGGGAGAAAGGGACAGCATGATGGCTCAGTGGTTAGCACTGCTGCCTCACAGCGTCAGGGACCCAGGCAACTGTCTGTGTGGAGTTTACACGTTCTCCCTGCGTCTGTGTGGGTTTCCTCCGGGTGCTCCAGTTTCCTCCCACAGTCCAAAGATGTGCAGGCTAGGTGGATTGGCCATACTAAATTGCCCATAGGTGTTCAGGGATGGTAGATTAGATGTGTTAGCTGTGGGAAATGCAGTGTTACAGGGAAAGGGTAGAGGGATGGCTTCGGGTGGGATGCTCTTCAGAGGGTCAGTATGGACTTGTTGGGCCGAAGGGCTTGTTTCCACACTGTAGGGATTCTATGATTTGCTCTATATCAAAGATAAAATGAACGTTTACTTATGGTTGGGAGTTCGTGTCTGAATGCCAGGGACTAGATCATAAGCCAGGTGCAAGTTTTAGCTTTTAAAATATTTATTTCTACATTGTGCCTCCGTGCTCCCTTTTCATTTTCCATCCTGCTTTAAATTAAATAATAAAGTAAATGTGCTGTGAAGACTACGACAGAAGAATCCTCCTGAAGTATGTTAATTGTCTACCGATTGCCGTAGTGAATCTCATTTAAATTTTGTATGACAGAAATGCACTTCAATGACATGTTGTCACTTCAGGTAATGCCATTTATACTCAAAATCAATGTAGATAGGAACACAAACCATTTTATAAAGATAAACAATTGACATGCAATACCATAAGTCTCAGAAGATAACGTCAAAGAAAAATATCATCACAATGACTTAACTTGAGCATTACCAAATTTATCAGTTTCAGAAGTTGCTGAAATATTAAAGCTCATTACCACAGGCAAGATTGGTTTAACAGATGTTTCTAGGTGCTGCACTATTTCTTGCAAGAGTGGAGGACCAAGAGACAGTTGATTTCGGTCGAATGGTGGCTTTAAGCAGCGAGTGAATTTCTCCCGAGCTGCAGACAGATTCCCCACTTTGAGGCAGGCTAAGCCCCAAGCATGCCAGACTCCACTCGGATCTAGTAGACCCTTCGTTGAAACCTAAAAATTGAAACAAGACGATATCACAGAATGGTCTCTTGTCCTAATAGAAATTGTAAAATGGGAATTATAAGTACTCTGGGCTGAGCAAAAAGGGTAGTTCAGAAGCTGAATTGACACTTCTCAGTAATTACAGCCTCTACCAACATGAGGTTGCTTCACTTTTTAGGATTCTTAATTTAAAGTCAGAACATTGTGGACTCAAGCCTTAGAACTGGAATGAAGGATGAATCACAGAATTGTTACGGTGAAAAAGATCATTTGACATTTCAGTACATCACGAGGAACTGCAATTGTCAGAGGTACAGTATTCTGAGTGATATAACAGCAAAAGTCTATCAAACTGCTCAGGTGAACATTATTCTATGGAACATTTGGAAGAGAACAAGGAGTTCCAAATTGGATTAAGAGCTCTCCAACCAATACCCACACAGTTACATTAGTTAAAATAAGGCTCAAATAAGAGGCAGCTGTTTTAAGACAGAGTTGAGGAGGAACTTCTTTACCCAAAAGGTTGTGAACCTGTGGAATTCCCTGCCCACTGAAGCAGTTGAGGCTACCTTGTTGAATGGTTTTAAGGCAAAGACAGATAGAGTTTTGAACAGTAAAGGAATTAAGAGTTATGGTGAGTGGGTGGGTAAGTGGAGCTGAGTCCATGAAAAGACCAGCCATGATCTTACTGAATGGCAGAGCAGGCACAACAGGCCAGATGTCCCACTCCTGCTCCTATTTCTTATGTTTTTATGTCATTTGTCTCATTGCCATTTTTGACATTTTGGGTGTGTAGAATGTCTCTACGCTTGCCTACAATTTACATTCATATTGCACCTTTAAAGTAACAAAATGACCCAACCTGCTCAACAAGAATATTGTAAAGCATAATTTAACACAATACGCAATATTAGGGCAAATGACCAGATGGTTGATCGGATGTAGTCATTAGTAACAGTATTAAAGGAGGACTGTGGGAAAGAGATTTGGAGGAGTTTAAAGAAAATCTTCCAAAGCTTACAGCCTAGGCAGCTGAGGACACAGTCACCTTAGATAGAACAATTAAAATTGAGGATGCTCAAGAAGCAATAATTAGATGAGCCCATTTATTTTGGAGGATTGTGGGCTGAACAATATTAGATATATAAAGGAGGTGAGGCCATAGAGGGATTTCAAAGCAAGGTCAAGAATTTTAAAACTGAGGCACTTCTGGACTGGAAGTCAATGCACATCAGACAGCATGGGGTTGATTATGGAATAGTCTTGGTCTGAGTAAGGACACAGGGCACAGGGCACAGAGGTTGGATGACCTCAAGTTTAAGGAGGGTAGAATGTGGAGACCAGCCAGGAGTGATTGGAAGTGTTGAGTCTGGAGGTAACAAAGACATAGTTGCAATATAGCGCTAGTGGCTATAATTCCACCATAGTTAATCAGATGTGAAGTTTTGAATATTGCTCTAAGAATCTTGTAACAAGGAGATAACTTTCTAGTACAGTACTTTGAAATATTCACAACTATATATTTGTCAGATACAAAAAGCATTTCTAAACACTACAGTCTTTCATGTTTTCTAAAAAAATGCCTTTGCAAACCTCAACAGCTAGTGCATAGTATTCGGTTTCCAAAAGCTTATTTCTCAGTCTCGTGATGGCTGCAGGCTTAAGGATTTGTTCAAGAGAAGGCACATCCTGGTAGTTTGCAGCAACTAAAATCTTCACTACATCCACCTTGCTGATATAGCTGCATGAAGTGACAGAAAGCAAACAATTAATCTTGAAAAGATATTGCTAGAAAAATTACAGTTTACTGAACATCTTGTTTAATTTCTACCTCAGTATAAATTGCTGAGATGATGTGAAATTTGTCATAGTTGTGTTTTTCCTGATGAATGCATAATTCAAAACTTCAACAGTATGTCTAATTATCCAGCAGTGGTCTAATTCTGTATTACTAGGCAACTGTTAAGGGGATGCATGAACAACTGTGCTCAAATCACTGCATGATGCAGATTCATTGTATCAACCTTCAACAAGGCAATTTTTATTACTCAAGAAAGTATTTTCAAAGATAATGTCAATGTTACTCACCTGTCACAAAGTGCAAGGTCTTGGCTCCTTCCTGCTTTCACAAACATCATTTTAGCACTGAAAAGAAGTTGCTTTATGATATCTATTAAAAGGCAAGCATCCACTTCTGGATTCGTCAATGCACGAGACAGTCTGCTGCAGTGATCTATCAACTGATGGCCACACTCCATACTATTACTGTGCAGGTTCAAGATAGCAATACACAAGGAAGCACTTGGAGCCTATAAAACATTACAACAGCTTTAACATTTTCATTTACTGCACTCATTTCTACAGCTTCCTCCTCCTAAGCATTTCTTTGCACAAATTCCGAACCAAGCTTCAAGGAGGTGAATTGTGGCTTTCAAAATGCCATGACTTTCACTTCCCTTGCCCTTCACTCTGTAGAAATACCTGAAAATGTGATATATAATAAAAATAAATGCAAAAGGATCTCTAGGGTTTTCAAAGAGGGAACAGAAATCTTAGGATAATTGAATCCCCATCCCAAGCTCACGTACATTCAGAACACCTGTAGCGTGCTGCCTGGCAAGCCAAATAACATGCTCCAGGTTGAACCCTGGTTTATGTCATATGGGATTTAGCACTGCTCAAAACAACAACTTTCTCCAGCAAATGACTTAGGAACACTATTATAATCATGTGCAGAAATGTATAGTTTTTTTTGTATCGAATCCATTCGGCCCAACAAGTCCACATCTACCCTCTGAACTGCATCCCACCTTGACCCACCCCCCCCTACCCTATCCCTGTAACCCTGCATTTCCCATAGCTAATGCAACTAACCTATACATCCTTGAGCACTATGGGTAATTTAGCATGGCCAATCCATCTAACATCTTTGGACTGTGGGAGAAAACAGGAGCATCCGGCAGAAACCCATGAAGACACAGGAAGAACGTGCAATCTCCACACAGACAGTCGCCCGAGGCTGGGACTGAACCAGGTCCCTAGCGCTGTGAGGCAGTATTGCTAACCACTGAGCCATTGTGCTGCCCAAAAGATAAAATTTTATTTCTCAGTTCTGAGGAAGGGTCACCGGACCCGGAACGTTAACTCGATTTTCTCCTTCACAGATACTGCCAGACCTGCTGAGCTTTTCCAGCAACTTTGTTTTTGTTCCTGATTTACAGCATCCGCAGTTCTTTCGGTTTTCATTAGGTTGATACTGTGTATGGAGGGGTTTTCTTTTGAGGAGAGGCTAAGTTGGGTTTTTAGGTTAAAAGAATGAAAAGCAACCTTATTGAATCATGCAAGATTCTTAGCGAGCTTTACAGGGTAAATGCGGAAAAGTTTTTTCCCTTGTAGGAGTCTACGACTAGAGGGCACAATCTCAGAATAAGGGATTGCCAATGTAAGACAGAAATACGGAGGAATTTCTTCTGTTAGAGAGGACTGAGGAGGAAGGTCGTTTACTACATTTAGGCTGAGATAGACATGTTTTCAATAAATAAAGGAATCAAGGATTATGGGGAAAAGACAGGAAAGTAGAGTTAGAGATGATCAGATCGGTCATGAATGGCAGAGCAGGCTCGATGTCCTTCTATGTCCTATGTCTTATGGTCCAACTCAGATGTTTGTGGATGCAGGCCACCATTTCAAGACTTGAACACATAATCTAAGTTAACACTGACAGAAATAGTGAATGAACGCTACATTATTAAGAATATTTTTTTTTCAGATGACCCATTTATCGGAGGCCTTGATGACATGGACCAAGTCAGTATTCATAATCTAAACATGCCATTTGAGAAAGATGCAGTGAGTTCTACCAGGGTCCACAGTCTATTTATCCCTCGATCAACAGGTTGTTCGTACATTTCACTGCTGTTTGTGGAACCACATTGTTGACAACTGTAAAATGCTAATTGATTAATTCTCCAAATATTTAATTTCTTTTTACTTACAGATTTACTGCAACTAGAAAGAATGGAGTAAGATCTAGCATGTCGGGTTTGAAGTGAGCTGAACTTAAGTTAATATTTTGCTGAAACTATTAAATATTTGATGCATGTCCATTAACTATCTTTTGGGGGCCACATGGTGAGATAAGACCAACAAGAAAGTTTTGAGATAGAAAGGGAACAATAGGATAACGAATAAATTGCTGCTAAGCAATTATTTCTTTTCTGGGGCTGCTCACAGTAACATTACCATGCCATAAATTAATCAGCAATGGCAATTCTTGTGTGAAACAGTTGATATGGACCATTAGTTTTGTTTTGAAGAATTTGCAGACTTTTGGGATTGAAGACAGGTTACACCTGTCCAACTGGAAAATGCAGAAATATTGCTTTTTTAATCCATACTGTCTCTGAACTTGGTTGAATATAACAAGCAGCAGAAAGAGTCAGAGTCACATAGCACGGAAACAGCCCCTTCAGTCTGACCAGTCTGTGCTGAACATGATCCCAAACTAAACTAGCCCCACCTGCCTGCTCCTGGCCCATATCCTTTCAAACCTTTCTTATTCATGTATCTATCCAAACGTCTTTTGGACATTGTAATTGTGACCACATCCACCGCTTCCTCAGGAAGTTCATTCCACATGCAAACCATCATCTGTGTAAAAGATTTGCCTCTCATGTCTTTTTTAAATTTCTCTCCTCTCACTGTAAAAATGTGTCCCCCTAGTCTTGGAATCGTCCATCCTAGGGAAAAGACAATACCATTAACTCTATCTATAGTTATCATTATTTTATAAACTTCTATCAGGTTGTCTCTCAACCACCTATGCTCCAGTAAAAAAAGTCCTACCCTATCCAGCATGTTGGAAATTATATTTGGTGTCAGAGTTGAACTACTGTTATACAGGCTGTGTAGTGCTGTGATATCCTAATAAAGGCACTACATAAATGTGAGCTGTTTATTCCCCTTTTGGTGTCTTTTGAAGCAAGCTACATTTTGAATGGTTTCAAAATACATCTCATCATTCTAGAAACTCATTTTGTAACTTTCAGGTACTCCTGCAACAAAGTACAAGGAAGTTACGTGACGTGGGATATGAGGTTCATATATCATCATCATAGAACCCCTACAGTGTGGAAAGAGGCCCTTCAGCCCAACAAGTCCACACCAACCCTCAGTACATCCCACCCAGACCCATCCCCCTATAACCCACCTAATCTACACATCCCTGAGCATTACAGGCAATTTAGCATGGCCAATCCACCTAGCCTGCACATTTTTGGACTGTGGGAGGAAACCCACGCAGACACAGGGAGAATGTGCAAACTCCACACAGACAGTCACCCGAGGGTGGAATCGAACCCGGGTCCCTGGCACTGTGAGACAGCAGTGCTAACCACTGAGCCACTATGCTGCCCCAATTTTAACTTCATTTATCTTTAAGTTTGGATTTTTGAATTAGTGGCATATCGGCTTTTTTCCAGTGTCTTTCAATGAATTTAATGATTTTATTTTGTAAGTATTTCTGTTGATATGGTGATTTCTTTTAAAAACTGAAAGAGCTGCGGATAATGTGAATCAGAAACAAAAACAAAAATTGCTTGAAAAGCTCAGCAGGTCTGGAAGCATTTAAGAAGAAAAATCAGAGTTAACGTTTCGGGTGAAGTGACTCTTTGTCAGACCTCCCCTCCTCAGCCCCACCATCTGAGTATTTTTGAGGGGTACTTTTTGTATGTAAAGGAATAGTTCTGGGATTCATGAGATTATTCAGTGATTCAGAATTTTTAAGTTTGAGAGATTTGGAAATAATTTGATTTATCCTATGTGATGTTCATTTCTTTTGCTTAATAAACTTACATTTTACTGTTAAAATCAAATCTGCAATATTGTGTGCTTGCATTTCTGTGAGAGACCACCTCATTAAAACCAAAAACAAACCAATATTAATATGACCTTCAGCAAGCAAGGTTTCAGTCTGGCATCTGACTTGTCCAGTACTAACATCAGGTGGGATCATGAAACCAAGTCAACAGTTTTCTATCTCTCACCTGCTCATAGAAAAACTCACTGCGTTCGTTCTCATTGTCTTCTTCGTTCAGGGTCAGGTTCCAATGTAATTCTGACTGGCGGGGCATCTGCAGCGCTACGGCAAGATCCAATTCTCCATCACAACTTATGGGGTCTATTTCACAGAAATAGAATTGCGCACATAGGTTATTAAGCTAGGAAAAATGAAGAAGAATATTTCTGAAACTATCAAGCTCCAAATACTCACCTTCACTTTGATCGAGTTGTACTTTTTCACTACAGGAAATAAATATAAACAGTGAACAAAAATTATAAACTAATGAATAGAATATACACACGCGTGATAATGTAAATAGAATTGATAAATGTCAAGATAATTCTGTACACAAAGTAGTTAAAATGATACACTACTTAACTTACAGACCTTTGACTCATTCACTTTGTGAATAGGTTAAATTCACAGAAGAGCAGCATGAAAAATGTAAATAGCTTAAAAAGTGAATACTAAATTCATCAATATATTTTTAAAAATCCACCCACAGTTTCTGGAGGAAGTATGCATGCACTAATTTCAACTGGAGGTTACCATTCAACAGTTCCAAGAGGAACAGTATGCCTTAACTGTGGATTTATTCTTTAGTTACACTAGAAACACTGTCACCAACAACAGCCACTGAGCTTGACCCACTTCAGGAAGGGAAAGGGAGTGTAATGGGTTCAAGTGCTCTATAGGTACATTGCTGAACCAGCAAGGTTACTTCTTGGCTGATAGGTGATGAACATTTTCATGTCACCAATCACCTATATCTGCTCACCATATAAATTCCATTCCAATCCCTCAACAATTCATTGAGGAACCTTATAGTCCAAAAAGTAAATCTGCCAGAAATTTGTATTATTTTCATTTAGACTGGGGAATGGGGATGTTTATGAACACTTATTAATCTATTGGAAAATGGATCCTTCAACCAAAGCCACTTGAAAATGACTAACCTAAGATATCTGTTGAGTGCAGCAGGCACTCAACTTTGAAATCTTGAAACAACCATAAACAGAAACACCAAAGCTTTGCATTGTAACAGATTTCAAATGAGAAATGTTTGATTTAGAAACACGAGCACAATGAGCAGTAGTAGTTTTCTTTTCATTCGTAATTTCTCATCAAAAAATTACAGAAGTCAGTTTATATACATAATCCATGTTCTACTAATCTGAGAAACTGTGCAATAACGCATGCCTATGGTCTTACTTCCATGGAAAATAAACTTTCAATTGATTAGAAATTTTATTCAGAAAAAGGGAGCAACAGATTTTCAACAAACTATCACAAAACACAAATACAGACAAACAAACAGCAATTCAGAAGTACGATTATTTCCCTAATGTTACTCATATTGAGTAAAGTAGCCATTGCTCCAGAGGACCATTGGGTAGCCCTCTCATTCAAGAGAGATGACGGATGGGGAGTTGAACCGAAGGGTCACCATGCCTCAAGTGAGGGGAAAGCTTGAAAAGATGGGACATTCATGGCAACCTTAGCCAGTGAGAGAACTCAACCTGTGCTGTTGGCATCGATCTGCCATCCAGCCAACTGAGCTTTCATATTGAACATTGTTGAAACAAAGACCCTTTTCTTTGTAGCGCCAGAAAAATTTGCAAGAAATCAATAAAGGCGAAAAACATGTGTGCTGTACGCGAGGAGTGTGCAGATTAGTTGACAAGTGGAACCCACGTCGCTAACGTCAGATCTAAAATCAAGACCACAGCTGAGAAAAAAAAACTTACTTCCCATGGTAATAATTGTAACATTGGTCACAAACCCGTGCTGGGTTCTCTCTGCAGTTTTCAACAACCATTTTGTTGGTAGAACAGGGCTGGCAAACAACACGCCCACAACGCCTGCAGTGATGCCGTCGATTAAACTGGTCAAAAAAAAATAAATCTTAACAAGTGATAGAATAATTTAAACTATGCTGCGTTAAGAACCTGCACACTAACAAGGAACACTTACAGAATTCACTACAGCCTGCATCATAAAACATTCAAGACTTAGCAAGATTAATTTATCCCAATTCCGGAAGGCACTGACTCCAGAAGTGACCTGGACATTCTCTAGTATAATCCCAGAATATCAACAAGCTAAGATAACAAAATGTAGAGCTGGATGAACACGGAGGCCAAGCAGCATCAGAGGAGCAGGAAAGTTGACGTTTCGGGCCTAGGCCCTTCTTCAGAAATGGGGAAGGGGAAAGGGATTCTGAATAAAATAGGGAGAGAGGAGGAAGCAGATAGAAGATGGATAAAGGAGAAGATAAGTGGAGAGGAGACTGACAGGTCAAAGAGGCGGGGGTGGAACCAGTAAAGGTGAGTGTAGGTGGGGAGTTAGGGAGGGGATAGGGCAGTCCAGGGAGGACGGACAGGTCAAGGGGGCGGGATGAGGTTAGTAGGTAGGAGATGGGGATGGGGCTTGAGGTGGGAGGAGGGGATAGGTGGGAGTCACGGAGAGAGTGGGTCCCTTATCTGCTTTCCGGAGGGACCACTCTCTCTGTGACTCCCTTGTCCGCTCCACACTCCCCTCCAGCCCCACCACCCGCGGCACTTTTTTCCCTGCAAATTGCAGGAAGTGTTACACCTGCCTCGACACCTCCCCCCTCACCCCCATCCCAGGCCCCAAGAATACCTTCCACATCAAGCAGATGTTCACCTGCACATCTGCTGATATGGTATATTGTATCCGCTGTTCCAGACGTGGCCTCCTCTACATCGGGGAAACCAAACGGAGGCTTGGGGACCACTTTGCGGAACACATCCGCTCGGTTCGCACTAAACAACTGCACCTCCCAGTTGCGAACCATTTCAACTCCCCCTCTCATTCCTTAGACGGCATGTCTGTCCTGGGCCTCCTGCAGTGCCACAACGATGCCACCCGAAGGTTGCACGAACAGCACCTTGTATTTCGCTTGGGAACCCTGCAGCCCAATGGTATCAACGTGGACTTCACAAGCTTCAAAATCTCCCCTCCCACGACCGCATCCCAAAACCAACCCAGCTTGTCCCTGCCTCCCTAACCTGTCCTTCCTCCCACCTAAGCCGCACCCCCATCTCCTACCTACTAGCCTCATCCCGCCCCCTTGACCTGTCCGTCCTCCCTGGACTGCCCTATCCCCTCCCTAACTCCTCACCTACACTCACCTTTACTGGTTCCACCCCCGCCTCTTTGACCTGTCTGTCTCCTCTCCACCTATCTTCTCCTTTATCCATCTTCTATCCACCTCCCCCTCTCTCCCTATTTATTTCAGAATCCCCCTCCCTTCCCCCATTTCTGAAGAAGGGTCTCGGCCCGAACCGTCAGCTTTCCTGCTTGGCCTGTTGTGTTCATCCAGCTCTGCACCTTGTTATCTCAGATTCTCCAGCATCTGCAGTTCCTACTATCTCATATCAACAAGCTATTGTGATCATACTGTACCTTTAAGAGAGAGGTGTTCTGTGCTGTTTCTCTTGGTACCAGTGGTACCAGAATGTCTGTTTCAGACAGGCACCCAGTAAACAGCTGGGAGTTATCCATGATTGTTATTTTTCAAACTATGCAGGAGAGGGCGGTGTCAGCACTCACACAGACCCTAAAAAGGTTTTTAGTTTTGCATTAGCTAGTGAGAAGTTTTCTGCTGCCTGCCGAGCTGAAAGCTTGAATTCCTTGCTGGAACTGAACTCTTAGACAGCGAGGCTTCCTCTTTAAAAATCAAAAGGGGCAGATTGTTTATTTCTTCTAGACTGGAGGGAGAAAGCACTTGAAAATCATCGCTGTTTTGCTGAATTGCATTTTTGCCAAACGGGCGGTTATAGGATGCTGGCTACATTGGAACAGTATGATGAGTGGTTAAATCATAATATTATCTTAAGTATTTTGATACAGTTAAAGTTATGCCAGTTCTTCTTTTCAGTTTTTTTTAAAACTGCATTGTAAGAATAAAGTGCGTTTTGCTTAACACCTAATGGTGAACCGAACGACTCACATCTGGAACTTAGCACCTTCCACTTGCCTTTAAATAGAGTCTGGACTATCTCCTTACTTTTTTTGGGGGTGTGGCTGGTCTGGTCCATACACTATTCTATTTTCAGCTGGGGCATCATTGTAGCACACAATCACATTCTTCCCCTCACACACACACTTCAGCAGTGGTTGATGCATAATTATCGGCAGCCATTTATGGCTGACTTTTCCTTCCCTGCTTTTATGGTCTCGAGGTCACAGCAACAACCGCGGACAGAGGTTGGGGAACTCAGCACAGACTACGAGTCACAAACTTTCTGGGCCTTTATGTCGCTAAGCATCTGCTTACTGCCTATACTGACAACAGAGTTTGAAAGTCCTGAACTTGAATTTTTTGAACACTGAGACAAACCATTAATAATACAGGCATTGTCCAAGAAGGTGGGTCAGAGATTATTTCTAACAACCACTTGCATTTCTATAAACATTTAACATAACAGAAGGCCCAAAGCGGTTGAAAAGAATTTAATTGTTTCCACCCAGCCGAAGAAAGAAATATTAAATTGGCTGAAATCAAAAGCAATCAGGAAGGTATTAAAGTCCAACAATTATATAAGCACGCATAATACTCTGTATGTCAAGGAAATTAAGATATTTTCCTGATAAAACAGACCCAGAAACATATGAAACTTTTTAACTGGGAACATCATGATGCAGCTTTTTATTGTGAAAAACTTGAATTCCGCCAGATAAATATTGTTGATTGAAGCACCAACTGTAAATTGTCAGAACCCTCATTTTAATTGCAACATGGGGCAAAAAATAAATTCTGAGACTTGCAACCCATGAAAATCCATTTCCTGCAAGCAGGTCACTGTAAATGAACCAAATTGAATCAATGGCATCCAAACATTATGCTACAAATGCAGCTCATTGGCAGAAACTCGAGGGGTAGGATTTTTCGGACCGGGAGGAACTTTCCATGCTGCCAGATTAAGTATTAACGTTGGCAACCCTGAAGGTTTTTTAATGCCCCACAGCAAGTGAAGTGGCTGCAGTTAGGAATCCTGCCCCCTCACAGAAAAAAGCCCTGCCTCAGAGTGCCAAGCAATCTGATTGGCTGGCAGTTCTCTGGTCCCAACAGTGCCGAGAACTCTTGCCCTTCCTCCCATCCCTAAACTTCTTCCATTGGCCTCCAAGTTGCAGCCGAGTGGAAAACAGTCCTGACGGGGCCATTAATTGGTGTCTTCAAGGCCTCATCATAGCAGTAGCCACAGGAGGGGGGAGGTGAGCAACTGGAGGAAGCCACCTTAGGCCACACCAACTGCTGTAAAATTTCAGCCAGATCCATTGGTATGCGGCAGGAATCCCACACCTGGAGGGCAGTATAAAATTCCACGCAGAGTGCAAAATATAGGTATATTTTCCTCAGAAGTAATACAAATAAAGTGAAAATACATCACACATTCATCCCATGTTGAACAGCAAGGTAACATTAGTGGAAGGTTTTGCAGCCCGCTCACAAAAACGCTAGCCTAAAAACTATGACTCACAGTTTATAAACTCTTCCTTTCATTTGTTTCAACTGGACCGGTTTCCAACATACATATTCCTGCTTGGAATTTTCGGTTTAAGAGAATAATAGTTGTCCAGCAAGTAGTAGCTGTTAGCTGTATAAACTTAATATACAAGGAATGAGTATCCAAGTCCAATACATGAGCTTTAAAGAACTTGTTTTGACCAACTTTGTGGAAGTGGAGCAAAAGACAGGCACACACATTCTCTGGAAGCTATTTTATTTCATTATTCCTCCAGTTACAGATCAGTTAGGACCAATGTTATTACTTTTAGTGTTCTTCAGCTGGTTTTGCTAAACTGCTGCTTTTCCTACCTCTGAGGAAGAGTCCTTTAAAATGGGATCACTACGAATAAAGAAATCACTTTTCATGAAAAAACTATGAGACACACAAAGAAATTCAGTTCAAACAATTGGGTTTGGGCCAATTATCCTTTCCAAATGCTCAGTGGACACTTATAATATCAGCTCAGGAACAGTATTATTTCACTTGCTGAGGCAGTGAACTGTGGGCCCCAGTTGTCTCTTTAAAATGTAAACAAAAACCATAACAGGCATTAAAGTAGTACAAGGCCTCTAATAAAATGGAATCATGATACAAGTGGCAGAAGACCACTGCAGAGCTCATTTCCAACTGCCTCCAGTACAGTTTATGAAAACAAGCTCAAAGATCAGTTGTTGATCATCATTGAAGTTACAAGAGTAATTGTTTCCCCAGATCCAGCCACATGAAAAGGAATGAGCAAATAATTCGCTGCACACCTATTCTCAACTTGCAAGCGCGTGGAAGCCCACAAGTTGAATGGTATATAGTGCCTCCACTATCAACAGTAATATTACTCATATTCTGGACATGGATGTACTTCTTTTCAATATCTACCATAATTTTGCCCAGTAAGTTTGGAAGTGCAAATCTGCCAGAGACTGACAAAGGTTAGTTACAGCACAAAATGTCTGGTTACAAATTCTGCTCTGTAAATTCACTGAAGCTATCTAAAGAGAATAAAAAATGTTAGAAAATGTGAAGCAGCTTTAGTTGATATTTTTCCTTACCATGGTAAACCTTTCCTTCCAACAGACCATGCAAAACAATGCCTTATCGTCAGGTATCCAGTCTTTCTTGGTAGGTGGGTTTTCTGGAGGAAAAAATTCACCGATTGATTTAGACATTCGAAGAGATCCTTCTCGAGGGGTAGTTGGTCCTTGAAGAGAGGAGTTACCTGCAACATAAAATACACTGATTTATCATTGAACAAAAATCCAATTTATTAATCAATTAACTTAAAATAATGTCCAGTGAGTAATACAGGTTAAGGGCAGAAGTCAAGTTTTACCTTCACAAAATTGGACTTAGTGACTAAAACTGAAAATTCAAGTCTCAAAATTACCATTTGTCTGCACATGCATTTTAAACGAAGTAGCTGGGGGGTGAAGAATCCAACAGTCTAGAATACTTATCTCACCCATAAGATTAGAGTTGAAACATGAGTGGGAATGTTTAAACGTCAGTTCTCAAGTACTATTCTGATCCTACGACTAAAACGAAATGGCTAATATGGATACCAAAGTTCTACTCAATTCTTGTAAATGTTAACACAGAAATACCAAGGCATTAGGTTTTTCAAATAATATTACGTATCTGGGAGTTTGAAAAATTTCTTAATTTTTTAGTTTTCTCCACTCTCAAGGAAATAGTCTCAGCACCTTAATTGTTACTTCCCATAGCCAGCATTAGCTTGATGAATGCATTCTGTCAATTCCATAATTAGAAACCCATAACTATTCCCTCCATGTTTTTGTGTTAAATATAAATTTATTACTTATTTTCTTATATTCTCTGCTCTGATTTATATTACCCAAAATATCCAATATAGTATGTTGGTAGGAATACATAATTGAATAGGGAGAACTAGTGCAAAAATGTATAGAATTATTACATAAATGCAAAAAATTGTATCTGTTAATTTTAGGTGAATTAAAATATCAAATTACATTCTCATTTTTTTTCCCCCCAAGAGTAAAAACATAAACTTGCACTGCATGCACAACTGGAATTTTATCTGATAACCAACCAGTAACTGGATTACATCATTTTTAGTGAAAGCAGCTTAAGCATTTGAAAGTAAAAGATGTACAGTTCTGGGGATAGACAGGAGCAGTGAGATGAGTTTTGAACTACTTTAACAAAAAAACCCAACACAGATGCCCCCATGGGGCTGAATTATCTTCTGTACTGTAAACATCTACAGTTTGATATTTTCTTTACCAGAACAGATGCTTGGCGTTCTCTCGAGGTTTGATGATGTTGGAAAATTCTCTGGTCCTGCACTCTGAGTGAGCAAATCTTGGAGATTGATTACAGAATCTAGATAGAAAGGCATTAAACAGCTTAAAATTCATAAATGTCGCTGGCTAAAAAATCACTTCAGTTTTGAAAATCATGAAACAAACAGCAGATTATTTTTTTTTCAGTTTTCACAGTGTTACTAATGGTCAAAAGGAGGAACTTGATGTTGCTACTGGGAAAGGCATACTCATTTAGTTTTGACACAGGGCACTGCAGGCTTTTGCATCACCAGGGCAATCATAGCCAAGGCCGATCACTTTTCACCTGATCCTGGAGCAACAGGTGGCAGAGACATGGAACCCAAGAAAACTACGTGCACAAGGACAGCCATTACCATTCTAATAGTCAGATTCACTCACACAGAGTCAAACCAATAAAATGTGCAATAAAATGAAGGAAGTCAGACGCTAGATGCTCCAGTTTTCTGTGAAACTCAGCAGGCCTATGTATGACAGCTGTACTCGAATTACACAGCAAACCACAACAGCACATAGGAACAACCCTGTCAGTGCTCTGCAATGCAAAAGCAGTGGAAGATACTTTTCATTTGATTTTTAGTTGTTTGTTAATTTGACTACAGAATCGTTTAAAAAGGTAAATGATATTGAAGTAGTAATGCTGATGAAAAAGCTTTTATTAGGAACCATAAATCTTAATCAACAAAAAGGAACAAACTACAGAAAATTCATGACAAAAAGAATAAAATACACAGTTTCAATCAGAAAAAGCCAAAGAAACAATTAAAATTGACACACAAATAATAGAGGCAAGGTAATTGTTGCTTCAGCTCCAAGGCTAGAAAGCAACATGTCCTAGTCAGGTTAACAAGTGGAAATTTCCAACCCGAATATAGAGCAGAGTGTGAAGTTGTGTTGGGACAGAGAAAGCAGCAATTATGTAATCATAGGACACATGGACTGGTCAAAAATAGATTCAGTAACACAGTAACAGACTTTGCCAAGGTTTCTGTAAACAGTAAATATAACATAAAGCTGGCAATTACAGCTTTTATATACATATATACTATTTCTAAAATCCTGCTTCACTAAGAAATAAAAGCAGATCAATTTTTGTTACCTGATCGTGCTTTCTCTCGCACTGCAAAGGGAACTTCAAGAGCCTTGGCTGCATATTTAGAAAGAAGGCAATCAATGTCTTCAATGGCAAAACCAGCTTCTTGCCCCATAAGCAGTTGATGAAGTGTCTGGACAGCCACTGATGCCCAATCCACTTTCATATTCATGAGTAGCTGCTCCAACATCAGCAATGGGTTTGATGACAGATGCGAATAGATATCACGTGCTGAATCTGGCAGACTTAGTAAAAGCTACCAAAAGAAATATACAGTTCCGAAATATCAATGGATTGTTATGCAAGAAAACTGACAAGCAAAGAACTGCTCAACTTTTATTAAAATTTCAACATGCATTGTTAGCTCAATTTTAAATCAAAGCTGACATAAATAAAGCAGTAGACAATGCTGTCAAAATGTTCATAAGTGGTTCACAACTTTGGAGTGCAGCTATAGTTGTTATGCTGGCAACATAATATGTGTGGCAATAACTGAAAAAGTTAATGCTTTCACCTCATTATGGTACAATAACCTGAGACAGAAAATATATTGCTCATATTTTTCCAGTAACAAATATGAAACACAAGCTATAGAAACAAATATATTTGTTGAATATCCCTTTCTATGCACCATTTTGCTTTGCAAATTATCCTCATCCAAACTTCATATCATTGTGATGTAGAATTATTATTACTCCACTTAGCACCTTTCCTGAAGTTCATAGGGTTCAGTTAGACAGAACTGTAGTCATTCATACAGCGGAAAACCAGAAGATACTTGACAATTACAAATGAAAAAATAATGCTATGTAACTTCTGATAACATATAACATGAAGAACCAATGGCAGAGTGATAATTCTTCCTCACCTTTGATCCAATGCGCATGGATTGAATTTCATGGTGGCGTGCAGCAGATAGACTCTTGTGAAAGTGCGTGGTAAGGTAATTGGCCAGAAAGTGACAAGCAGCTAGTCCTGGATGCTGATCCAGAGCCTGCTCACATACAGCTTGGCACATGTCAGAATCATGGATTCCCTGCAGGAGCTAATGGAACACAAAGAAGTGAGCAGAATTTAAACATATTTCAGCTATTTTTTTCTTAAAAAATCTCATTTAATGCTGATAAATGCTGAGAGGATGTTTCTGCTCATGGAAGAGTCTAGGACCAGAGGGCATAGTCTCAGAATAAAGGGGCACCAATTTAAGATTGAGATTAGCAGAAATTTCTTCTCTCAAAGGATCAAGTGTCGTTAGAACTCCTTGCCACAGAGACCTGTGGGGGCAGAGTCTTTGTACATTTAAGGTTGAGAAAGACATACTCTTGATTAGTAGGGGAAATCAAGGGTTACACGGAATGGACAACAAAGTGGACATGAGGAATATCGGCTCAGCCATGATCCTACTGAATGGGGAAGCAGACTTGAGGGGCTGAATGGCCTACTTCTGTTTCTTAGTCATAAATAATGGGATAGAGTGTCACATATCTAAAGTTGTGAATGACACAAACATAAGCAATATTGTAAGCCACATGGATTTAAGTGTGGCGTACAGAGAGATATTGATCATACAAGTAAAATTGTGAAAAATAAAGTTCAATGTCTGCAAATGTGAGACCATCACTTTGGAAATAAAAGGATATGGCAGAATACATTCTTAATAGCGAAAAAATGAAAACAGCAGATTCGAAGAGACTTCTGAGTTCCACGTACAAAAACCATAAACAGCTATAGAAGATATTAGAAAAAGCTGTGGAATGCTGACCTTCATATCTAGAGTACCATGGTACTATAGCTCATGCACATCTACACAAAGCACTGGTTAGACTACATCTCGAATACTGTGAACAGTTCCGGTAATCACACCTTAAGGAAGATATATTGGCTTCGGAGGATGAACAGCAACGATTTCAGAATAAAAGACAGGATGGTTAAATCACAAGAGACAAATTAGGATTGCATTCTTCTGAATTTAGATGGTGATAAATGATTTGATTGGAATTTTCAAGATATTAAGGCGAGCTGGCAGGACAGATAAAGCAAAACTATTTATGTTAAACAGGGAGTCGAGGATACAGGGGCAAAAATATTTCAGAAGTGAAATTAGGAAATACTTCTATGACGGTCAGTAGAATTTTAGAATCCACTTGTGCAGACAGCAATCAATAGGCACATTTTAAAAACTAAAACCCAGAGATTTTTGTCAATCAAAGCATCAAGATATCGGAGGCAAACACAGTTTAATGCCACCAATCAAGAATGGTACAGTATCCATGAGTTACAATCAGGTTAACAAAGCATTCTTCTTTAAAGAGAATAAAATTTTGCCCAAATTCAGAACAGATTTTTTTTTTTTTTTAAGAAAAGTCATTCTTCTTTAACAATTTGCCCTGCCAAGATATTAATTCCATACTTTACACGGTTCCAAAAGTCAACTGCCTCAAATGGCTCAACGGAAGATGGACAAAGATCAACAGTACGCTATTCTTCAGTACAGAACAACTCTTGAATATAATCCTGTCCTTACCCATCGTCATGCAAACATTGCCAATATTTTGCCAAGTAGCTGAAAAAGCTCAGGCCTCCCAAGACACTTTCACCATCTTAACCCTGGAATGCTCAGGCCAAATACAGCAAACCACACCCTCTCCCCACATCCAGCTTACTCTTACAATTTAGAGAGTTAACCTGGAAGCCTTAGAGTCTTCATGGGCCAACTATGTACTGGGCAAATCCTTGGGTCATCAAGGGGACACAGTATAATTTTGAAACAAATTAGATATGTACACCTGACTTCCATTTGTCACCAAATATGCCAGGCAATGCTGCTCAGTACAACAGTCAACAATTTTGGCACAACTAAAGGAATACTTAGATTAATACTCAAAATAAAATTCAACTGTTAAAGTGTCATGCAATGGTTCAATATCTAATAAAAGAACAAGAGAAAATTCAGTTGGACATGACCTCAGCAAGTCAATAGGCACACACTGTAACACCAGTACAGTTGCACCCTAATACATGAGCAAATACCACAGATCCTGGAAATCTTAAATAAAAACAGAAAATTACTGAAAACACTCAACGGGTCAGACAGCATATTTGAAGAGAAACATAGAATTACTGTATCATGTAACCATTTTTTCCAGAGCCAACCTGAAACATTGACATGGTTTCTCTCTGTACATGCTGCCAGATCTGTTGAATGTTTCCAGCGTTTTCAGATTTTATTCCAAGTATCGTTCAGTTTGGGTTAGTGTCTAAAGGAAATGAGCCAGATGAACCTCCATAACATTTGCTGAAATACAGACCTACATATAATTATTAAAGCTCTGAATTTTAGTAGCACGTGCCAGAGGAATTGGCATTTTCTATTTGCTTAGTTTTTGAGAAGGATTCCAAACGGAATGTTAAAATGTCAGTATTCAGGGAGCCAGTAATAATTTAGGGGTTATTGTGGCTAGCAGCACCTGCCTTAAGGCAGCAATTAAAACAGGAGCACCAGTGATATCAAATTCTGAATACAAGGACTGTAACCGTCTTAAATGGGTCCGCCATTTTTCATTATGTGGGATAAGCAAGATCAATAACGTAAACAGGAAATAACAGTAACAGATGTAGGACGTAAAAGCATACAGTGTCTTAAGTGCCAGACCAAACCAGCCTTTTCAGTTGGATATTTGTATGTTGTAATATATTTGCTATAAAGTGCTTTACTGGCACCTCAAATTCATCACAATTCAATAAATAATGCCAGGGTTCTATTTAGTACTTACCTGGAATGCTCGCTCTCCATCGCCTTTCTCAAGCAGGTGAAGGAGATATTCACGTCTGAGCTTCATTGTAAAGTGCATTGGCACAGGATGCAGCTGGACCCAAGACTCACAAAGCTCAAACTCCTGAACATGACAAAGTATTAAGACTTTAGTTAGCCGAATCCAGTGTACATTCAAAATAATAAAACATTTCACTGGACAACACCTTCATTCCAGATCCAAGTCTGTTGTTAACACTAATATTAATTTAAAACCTAAGAAATAAGAGCAGGAGTACGCCAGTTTGACCCACAAGTCTGCTCCCCTATTCAACGAGATCATGGCTGCTCTGCCTGAGCTTATAAGAACAAAAGAAACAGGAGCAAGAGTATGCCAATAAAAGATAGAACTTATTTTGATATGACTCAGAATCCATAAAATGGCAACTGCAGTAACATTACTCAGGTTTGGGATTTTGGCAAATTGAAGTTTGGAAAGAGTTACATTTCACCAATGAGCGGGTAACTACATTGATTTCAGATCTAACTACTACTTCAACCTTCATATTCAGGCACTCAGCTTATTGTTGGTGTACATTTTGATAGCTCTTATACTACCAAACATGTCTCGTTTCTTTCGAACATTAACAACATTCACACCTGCCATTACTGCACTAGTTTTTTTTTCTCTGCAGTTAGCAGGCATTGTAGTCACTTTTATTTTACATGAGTTACTCTTACACTTGTTATGATTCTCCAAGAGAATTTTTAAAAATAATCTCCGTACTTCCAGTGGCTGAAGAATCACGGGACAAGATTTCAGAGTTTAACAGTTTTACTGTAACAGACAAACTAAAAGCATTGGATAAATACTACTCTGTAGATAACTTTTAAGAAATTCTCCATTTAGCTTTTAATAACAAAATCTTTGACTAAGGTTATACTTTACGCGTGTTCTTAAGTGGACACTTACACTCCAGGAACAAGTCCCAATTCACTCTCCACTCTCATGAGCTTGCTTCCTTCAGGATAACTTTTCTCTGCTGGGTAACTTCTGATCCCAGAAGTGACTTTCACTACGATGGCTACATTGGAGATAGCTGCCTTCAGGGCAAAGGTCCTCTAAATCCTCACAAACTTGGTCTCGTCAATCTTACTGCAAGTTCCCTTCCATGTCCTGCCTGTTGAGCAATCAATTTTCTCTGCTTCAGTTGCAGGGCTGGATTCCTCCATCTCCTGCTTATTTTCTCTCTGATGGCTGAAGACTGAATCGGCTTTAACAGTTTCTCGAAGTTTTTTTTTCAGGAAATTCCTAACTGGATTGTTCAATGGCTTCCTTTGACATTTCCCTTCCCAAGCACATCTCATGGTAATGTGAATCACACCCAAAAACATTTCACTTACCCCAGCCTGCAAAATGATGTCCATTACAGCCTGTGGATTCTGACTGGATGCAGCCCGCAGTTCCTGCCAGCCAGACCAAGGTACTGAAGATCCCAGGTTAAGGATCTGTCAACATAAACTCCATTTAAGAATTTCAGTACGAATTTACAACAAGCTGACAGTTTTTTTTTGGAAGAAAAGCATACATTAAAACAGACAAAATTGTATTTGCTTGACAGTTCAACAAAGTTGAAAACCAAAAGTCAGTATCAGGATGCTTGCTTTTCCTCAAAAATGATCTAGATCTTGGGACAATTTTGATCTTTGCCAACAATTCAAGACTTGGGAGCGCTGTAAACTAAGAGTGTATAAATTGTATAACAGCGTATAAAGAAAATTGGCAATTTGGCGGAGTGGGCAGATACGTGGCAGATGAATTTCAATGCAGAGAAATGTGAGGTGATACAATGGTACAGAGAACATGGAAACAGTATAAAATGAAGGGTACTATTCTAAAGGGTATGCAAGAGCAGAGGCAGCTAGATTTATAGGTGTGTAAATCACTATAGATAGCAGGACAGATTGAGAGAGACTGTATGGAACATTAACATCAATATGAAGTTGGGCCAAATGGCTTGTTTCTCTGCTGTACATCCTATGTAATTTCTGTGGAATAAATGCATTGACAGTACGTATTTCTCCAGTACTCTGGTACCACTCCCACTTTGAAGGAGAATTGAAAGATTATGACTAGTACCTATTTCTGCAATTTGCACATTTACTTCCCTCAGCATCTTCAGATGCACGGTTGACTTTCAATGTTTTTTTTGATAGCTCCTCTTCTTCATTTTTAGCCCATCCAGTATCTTAAACCATACCAAAAATATAAACACTTTTCCCAGTTCATTACTCTCGAGTGTCAGTTCATATTAAGTGAAGTAGCTGTGGAGCAGATTTTCCCATTTCTAAATTCTAGAACTCTTCTTCCAGTTAAGTTTTCATCCATACTGCCTTTCATCTATTTTTAACCTTGTTTTCCTTCGTGCACAGTTTCTGGTACAGCTTGCAACTCCACTCTCCCATCATTTTAAAAATATTCAGGGCCTGTTGCCAAGCCAGCTTTAAGTCTTCCTCACTTAACCTTTGCACTCAACCTTGCAATTCCTCAATAATCTTGATACCTCCTAATTTGGGAATTGTTCCACTCATTCCTATGGCCTTTCATCCAGGCTACCAAAACCTTGCTCACCCATCCACCAGAAATATTTTTAAACCTTCAATATAAAATTCAAAGTATGAAACGTTGAAGGAAACTAAACTCACAGCACCAGGGACCTGGGTTCAATTCCACACTCGGGCGACTGTCTGTGTGGAGTTTGCACATTCTCCCCATGTCTGTGAGAGTTTCCGCCGGGTGCTTCAGTCCAAAGATGTGCAGGTTAGGTGGGTTGGCCATGCTAATTTGTCCCTAGTGTTCAGGGATCTGTAGATTAGATGCGTTAGCCATGGGAAATGCAGGGTTACAGGGAATGGGTCTGGGTAGGATGCTCTTTGGAGGGTCGTTGTGGACTTGTTGGGCCGAAAGGGCCTGTTTCCACACTGTAGGGATTCTATGACGAACCTAAGAATAATTCCTAAAAGTGTAAAATTTAGTTGAAAGTATTGATAATGCAGGATTAAAAACAGAACTATTGTTGCTTGGGAGAATAAATGAAGTGAAATACATTCAGGAAGAAAAGAAATTGCTAAAATAAAACAAAGACTGAAAAACTATTGTTCAGCCCCAGCTGCTGTAAACATTAATTGGGGAAAAGCAAAGACAAGTACTAGACATTTGCATCTGCAACAGCAAGTATAGTATAAAACCATACATTTTGTTAAATTCAAAGTGACAGATTAGAGATAAATTTACAAGGCGGCCTGAAGGAACTCCAATCCTTAAAATGAATTTTAGAAGCAAAATAATTTGACCATAGCATTTTGAATTGTACTTAAGACTGTAGGCATCTAAAACACAACAGGTTCACAAGCAAAATTAATAAAATCATTTGCCAAAAAGTTTTCAATCTTCATTGATTTTTACTCTACTCTGCCTAAAGAGTAAAGATATAATTGGAATAAGAAATAGCATTTCCTTCTGCCTTTCTGTGCATCAACCAAACCAATTAAACATGAGACTTATGGTGAATTGCCTGACTTTATTTTGGCAGTTTACAGCTCAGTTTGAATGCACCGGGCCTATGCGAGGTGACAGTTCATGCATGTTGTATGCTAGCAACTAAATTTTGGGGCACTGTTATTCAGTACGTGAATCTATTCCTCTGATAACCAACTTGGCTGTCAGTGGAAAAGCTTCTTCCCATCTATCCCGTCAAAGACCATCATAATCCCAAAGATCTCCATTAAATCTCCCCTTAATTTTCTTTGCTCAAAAAGAGAACAATTCCAACTTCCCTTGGTCTCTCATCCAAGGTGTTAGTAATAAATGTTGCCTTGTTTGCACTTTCACTATAACTCTGTGCATCTTTACATCATTCCCTCAGAGGCATCCTTCTATTCTGTAACCTACTCCTGACATTGCCATTCAAAAAGTACTTGCATTTACATACTGTACATACATGTAACATAATAAATATTTGACTTAATCTCTGTAAATTATGTTAATATTTCTCTCACGTTAAAAACATTCCAAACTCTGAACAATAAAACTAGTAAGATTCTGATGCATGTTTAAAAAGTGCTACAGATCTACTAACACAATGTAAAATATATATATTTCTTTAATCACTATCAATATAACATTGGAGTTTAAAAAGAAAGAGCAAGTGCATAGCAGTATCAATCAAAATGACAATTAAGAAGGTGGAATAAAAGGGATTAGAAATGTACTAATTACGTCCGAGAGTCCTCATGTTATGTCTCCCAGACCAGGAAAGATATGCTAAGGTATTAGTAACCATCCATAATGCAGATGTAACAAGTGTAAAGTAGATCATGAAGGACCCATTGAAGTAAAATGAGTACGCACTTTACGAAAAATGTTACTGCAGACAAAAAATCTTAAGAATGATTCTGTTCCTAGTTACAAGGACGTGAAACAGTCAAGGAGTAAACTGTGGGAAATAAACCATCCTGTGACAGGACTTGGAACAAATTCCATAATCTAGCATTATGCGTTCAATAATTTTCAGTGATCCTGTCGATCAGATATCCTTCATATTAATATCAATTGATAACAAATGAATGCCACAAACCTTCTCATAAACCTGAAGTTCCTCCTTCTTTTTGCGTAGATTGGACTTAAATTCCCTGTCATCTGTACTGGGATCACTTAGACAATACAACAGAACGTCAAGACAAGCACGAAGTGGCCACTTTTCTGAGCAGTGGAGGACAAGTTTAGCCCTTAGAATAGCATTTTTTATGCGGAACACATATTTCCAACCTTCTTGCTCTGCCAATGTAACAGAAATTTGTTATGAAATAACTTCAGTAACTGAGGTAATAACTATAAAGGTGAACAACTTCATCTCCAGTGTTTAAAAGGAGATTGAATAAATGGGTAAAGTGAAATAGACAATATATGGTGTGCAAAAATAGCAGAATTTTGTGGGCTGAATATTGTTATTTTTATGCTTCATGTCCACACAACTTGTATTCATTTGTCAACCTAATATAGACAGATGAGACTTCAACATTTTAGCAAAAGGGCTGATGTAGGAGATTGGTTTAAACATTTTATTACAAAGCTGATCACACCATGCAATGTCTCCACTGGCAGGAGGTCATGATTGCAGAATGGTAAGTTTACACAGCCAATTTCTAATACAAATATGGACACTAGAATTTATAATGGGAAAATTCACATGAAGTTCATACTAACCTACGAAGCTGAAAATACCATTAGTTGATACCCTACAATGCTACATGGGAATTCAAAATCAAATGTAGCCTCAAGTAAAGTAGGTCTGAAGGTCACAAGATAACTGAACCAAGGACAATACACACAGTTCAGACCTCATTTGTATTCATATATTCTATTTTCATACAATTCTAAGTTCGCTTGCAATGGAAACTGCCTACGTAAATTCATAGCTGTCACTGGTATTGCAGCGTCTCCACTGTCAGAAGGGTAAATTACAACAATAAGTACTCAGAGGCAGTGGTCATTAAAGTGAACAAAGGAAGTTACAATGGAAAACATTGACATAAATGGGCATGCAGATATTTAGAGGTTTTAATACAAATGGATACATAAACAAACAGTGTGTATTTTGATGCATGCTAATTAATAACTGGAAAGAAATTAGATACAAGAAAAAAGATTACTGATGTCACTACAAAAAGCCTGAGTGTTTTAACTTTTGTCAGGAGATTCCGACATAAAAAAGGAACAGGAAGTGTCAGTGGCCATTGGCAATGTATAAGGAACTCAGTGAAGAGATCAGAAGAGGAAAGCATTTTCAACATCCACCTTGTCAAAACTGTTCAAGATCTTATATACTTCACTCATGTTACTCCTCACTCTTCTAACTCCAGTGGAAACAACACCAGTCCGTCCAATCTTTCCTTATAAGATAACACACTAATTCCAGGTGTTTTCCAACCCACTAATCCACATATTCCACAAACTATTCTACTTTTCTCAGAAAATTATATATTGTGGATGTGACAATTCTGGTCATTTGCGAAGGTACTGTAGTCTTACCTCCTACAACTGCAAAGCTGAGCAGGATATCCTTCAGTTTCTCAAACTCTTCATTTTCATCAACATACAAGTCAAGAATTTTCAATGCTTTGAGCCAGTGACCATCACACAAGACTTGCCTGAAGATTTCAGACAGTGTGCTTACAGCTACCTCAGAATGAAGGCCCGTAAACAAAAGGGTAGTGCACGGGTTACCACACAGAGAGTCCTGGAGACTAGCAGTTTCTTCACGGGTTCCGGGTAAAGGTTCAGCCATTGTATAAAGAAAATGCTCAAGGATTGGAAATTCCTTCATTAACTGTTGACACTCCTTGGAGATCTGTTCCATGTCAAGGGGTGCCTCTGTGCGACCACTCAAACGATCCTTCCATGACAGACTGTGCCTAAGTGCCCTTTGACCTTGGGTTGCTGTTAAACAGACAAGAACCGCGAGCAACTTTGAACGAGACTTGATGAAATTCAGTGCAGAAGGAATAAGAGAATACGGTCCCAAGGAAGAATCTGTAGATTCATCTTTCAGACTTTCTTCTGTAAGATGGAATGAACTTGGAAAGACAATTCCTAAATCAGGAAGGCAGCGCTCTGAATGTCCTTTTATCAGTTCAGTCACTTCTCTGAGGAAAGTAGGACGGTAGCCGAATCTCCTGGTATTCCAAAGAGGAAGACTCTCACAGCAGCATCTAATAATAATTTGCTGTACACTCAAGTTCAATTCTTCCTTCTGCAGCAACATGAATAACCTAAAGAAAAAAATAAATTTAAAGTAACCATTAAAAAATTCACTACCTACGAACATAACAGTCAGTCAAATTCATAACATGTTCTTTTATCCTTTCTAGGACACTGCACAGCTATGTCTTGTGCGTTCAATTCACTTGATATTCTGAGTGCTGTACACTGGCCAAGTATAATGCTGAAATACAATTATTTTCTCTGGTTATGAAAAGCAAACAGCATGTCTCTATTGGGAGCATGCAGGAATGTAGAACTGATGTTAAAATTAGATTGGTTATGATCTTATTGAGTGGAGGAGCAGATTCAAAAGGTTGAAAAACCCACTCTTGCTCCCCATTCATATGTTCACATGTTTGATCATTCTGCATTTGGATACAGACAAAATTTAATAAAATTACTAAACAAAAAAATCCTCATAAGATAGTAATGGACCAAATCAATTGCATAGTTTTTGACATGTCTCTTTCAATAGACAAATAGACTGAAAGCTAACTATGGTCAAGAAAATCCAACAGCCCATCATAGCTCATCCAGTCACAAAGAACCAGCAATCAAAAATTTCTAAAATTGCTTCAGGACTTCTACCTCCATGATCAAATCTGGAAATGCATTTCATAAGTTTGCCACAACTAAACTTTTCACTATTTTGAATTTGTAACCTCTGACTGCATTGACATGCTTTTCTTTTGAAGTAGAACTCTGTTATAACTTCCCATCCTATGTGTCAACTGTGAAACCTATAAAAAAACCATTTGTTTTTCCAAAACTGAAATGCTTAAGTCTCCCAATCTTTCCTTACATCAGACTAAAACAAAACACCCTTGAAATCTATCCTGTGCTTAGAATATTCCAACTACTGAGTTTAAAGAATAAATAATCTTGCACTTGGGTAGTGCCTTCCATGAAATCTGATGCATTTTACAGTCAATGCATTAGAGTTTACAATATTATTATTCTGCTAACAAAAATCTTCAAAATAGATTACTAAATCTAAATGGTAGACAGAATGCTATAGTAATCACATTTATAATTCACACAGATGTCAGTGAACTGCGCAAAATGGGAGCCTTTGCCTGCAAAAATGAAAAAGAAAAGTTAGAGAATCATTTCAGGTTACTTGTGTACATCTTTGCAAGAATTCAGGTGCCCGAGAGCCGAGCACTTGGACCACAAGTTCAGTTTAAGCACAGAAAGGACATATTAACTTTACAAGGGATAAAGCCCAGATTCAAAAGAATGATAACACATTGAGATACAATTCAGATGACAGTTTCAGGGACCAGGTTTGTATTCCTCGAGTAAGAAAGATACAAAAGGTGACCCGAGATATTTATGATTAAAAGGATTCTATAAGCTTCTTTTTCTTCCGTTTTTTCACGAGAAGTAGGCATTGCTGTCTAGGCCAGCACTGATTGCCCAGCCCCAATTACCCGGCAAAGGTGGTAATGAGGTGATAATTGGTCAGGTCGGGTTTCTTAGACCTTTTGTGTACAAGAGATACCCAGGCAATTAACTGCATAGATAGGTGCCAATGTTGCAAGTGAGCTGAAACAGCTTGGGTAGGGGTGTAGCTAGTTCTGGAATGCTGTAACGGCCCATAGCTTTTGCATTATCTGGTATCTTCAGCCATTTATTGGTATCATGTGGAGTGAATCAAATTGGTTCAAGGTTGACATTAGTGATGCTGGGGTCCTCAGGAGGACAATGAGATGGATCATTCATTTGCATTTCTGGATGAAGATGGATGTAAAATACTTCAGCCTTGTCCTTTATACTCATGTACTGGGTTCCTATTTGTCCCACTGAGGACAGGGATATTATTCTTCTGTTATTTTATTTATAAATAGATAAACAAATTATTTCCTCTAGAATACTTGGGAATTACCTGAAAATAAGGCAGTTCAGGGGCCATATCAAAAAGCAAATTCACTCAAAAGAGTGGTGAAAATCTGAAATTCTTACACCCAAAACATTGTTGAGTCTATTAATTCTAAGTTTCAAAATTGAGATTGATACATGTTTTGTTATGTATGAGGTTTTAAGAGATATGGAACCAAAACAGGTACATGGAATTAAGATACAGGTCAGCCATGATCTAACTGAATGGTAAAAAGAGGTTCAAAGGGCTGAATGACCTATTCACGTTTCTACATATGGTGTGATCAGGCCATTACAGGATAAGTTAGGAGATAATAAACACCATGTAAAAACATGACCGTTCACGTTTTGCACATTGAGTATAAGAACAACTGTTGACATGATCGCTCATACCGGTCAGGCGAAGTTGGTTTCTCGAAAAGTAAATGTGCAAAAAGTTGTGATGGGGTCTGTTGCAGAATTATGAAGGGATTTCCTACTTTTACCTCTGCAAATTGATCTAGGATGAAGAAAATACAATTAGACTGGTGATTGCTCATGTCCAACTATATGTCAACTTCACAATCATGCATTCAACAATACCTATCAACTGCAGCATACAATGTAATTTCTTTCTTTCCTTTCCTATTAAAACTTGCACTTACGTTCGCCTTTCCTTTCAATTTGATTGCTAAAAAGTTTACAATCAGTTACTGAGTTACTTTAAAAGCAAACAATTACATCAAAACAATTTTAAACACAATATAGATGTGATCTATTTGTGATAATATCATACCCATATCTCTGTTCATACTTCGAACGAGCACAGCTGCAAATGTGTTAATGTAATCAAAAATGCTTCGCATGTAGTCTGCTCTTGTCTGCTCTTTATCTATCACATCTTGAATACGTTGATCTAGATTCTTCACTAGCTGCTTCATCTGGTTTTGGATGGTGTGACCTTCTGGATCTTGAGATCGAGAACTTGTTTGTTCCAAGCAGTTGAGTATATTTCCTTTTAGATCTAAAAGAGCACAACAGTTTCTATTTTTTTAATATCCACAAAGATATCCCGTATGACACGCACTGAGCTTTATAGATAGGGTCTAATTTTAGCAAAGAAAGCTACATTTGAAGAAAAGGCATTAAAATGTAGTGGCACAATACCAGTGCACAAATAGTTCCACAATTGAAAAAGGTTAATGACCTTATTGAAGAGTTACAGGTGTTAATAATTGATTAGGAAGATTTTCAGTTCAATGCTTGCAAAAAGTCTTATTAAATTAAAATATCTCTTCAAAACTTCATTTGTTTGGTGGGCAGGTTTGCAAAACTGTAATCTCTAAATCAAGCTGTTGTGTTATTGATATTTTGGAACCTGTTTTTTTTTTTTTTTTAATTTCATTCATTCACGGGATGAGGGCATCGCTGGCTAGGCCAGAGTTTATTGCCCAGAGAGCAGTTGAGAGTCAACACATTGCTGTGGTTCTGAAGTCACATGTAGGCCAGACCAGGTAAGGATGGCAGTTTCCTTCCCTAAAGGACATTGGTGACCTCCCGCAATCAAACATCCTATGTGGGAAATTTTAGTATTTCTAGAGTGCTTTAGCTGTAAAGGATTAAGGGCAGCTTAACCCAGAGATGTTACTTGTTTTGTCAGAAGTATTATTTAATCTCATGGGTTAAAGTAATCAAAAATAGTAATACTTAAAATCAAGTAAAAGTGGCAAGAGTTTATTCCTGTCTGAACCCTCTAACTATTTACTCTTTCAATTTTGTTATTTTGATTTTTATTTAACTTTGAATTAATTTATGCAGAATCTGTTTCCTGTTAGGTAACCAATCTTCTATCCACACTATGATGTTGCTCCCTAAACCAAGATCTCATTCTGCATAGTAACATTTGCTGTGGTACCTTGCCAAATGCATTTGGAAATCTAAGTACAATCAATCACAACTATCCCTTTCGCAGTGCTCATCACTTCCTCAAAATACCTCAATAAATTGGCCAAACATGATCTCCCTTTCACAAAGACAAGCTAAGTCTGCTTGCTCCCATTGAGATTTTCTAAGCACTTCATTATATACTCCTTAATACAAGATTCCACCATTTTCCCTATGTGAACATGACCATAAATGCCCTGGACTATAATGCTTTCTGTCCCCTTTTTTGAATATAGCAGACTCTATAAATATACCGAGCCACAGAAAGCAGAAATATCTCTTTGATCCCTGGTTTCTGTCTCCTTTTTTGAATACAGGAATATTGAGACAGAAAGAAGCAAGGTTGGTTAGAATACAGACAGAGCACGACAACAGTGGGGGCTGGTTAACTTAGCTTCAGGCTGCTGCTAGTATGTGATTCAGAGTAACACTAACTGCTCAGGTTCAAATCCCAAATCAAATGCGGTAGACTTGGAGCATTTATCCTTGCCTGCCCCAAACATGAAGTGAAATGGTGCCACTCAAGCAATATAGTCTCTAATTATCTTTCTCTAATATAGACAGAGAAGACTATAGCTAACTAGCTGTCTACTTACGACAGCAACAGGATTAAACTCTTGCCACTTTTACTTGATTTTAAGTATTACTATTTTTGATTAATTTAACCCATGAGATTAAATAATACTTCTGACAAAACAAGTAACATCTCTGGGTTTAGCTGCCCTTAATCCTTTACAGCTAAAGCACTCTAGAAATACTAAAATTTCCCACATAGGATGTAATGCAAATTGATAAAAGGGATAAAGTGTAATTTCATCAAGATGCTTTTTGAAACAAAACTTTAAGAATTACTGATAGTAGGAACTGCAGATGCTGGAGAATCCGAGACAACAAGGTGCAGGGCTGGACGAACACAGCAGGCCAAGCAGCATCATAGGAGCAAAGAGGCTGACGTTTCGGGCCTAGACCCTTCATCAGAAAAGGGGGAGG